ACCATGGTCAAGGTTAGCTTCTCCTACAACTTTTAGAAACCATGGATGGTTAGCTTCACCTTACCATGGTTCCTAGTGAACCATGGTTAAGGTTAGCTTCTCCTAGAAGCTACCTCTCCCTATATATTTGTTTTCTCTACACTTGTACTCACTTTTGGACATTTATGAGAATTAGAAATCAGATTTCTCTCTCATTTTCAAGAGTCAATTTCGTGAGAAACCTCCTCCTAGGTTCTCTCTCAAAGTTCCTTCTCCTAGAAGCTTGGTTTCTCAAGCTTCTTCACTTTTTCAAGAGGTAACCGAACCTCTCTTAGGTGCTTCTCCACCATTGGAGAATCCTCCAAGGTGATTCCACCACCTTCAAGGAGTTCAACCTCATGGAGCATTTCGGTCCTTGCATGGAAAGCTTGGAAGAATATCAATCCTCTCCAAGTACTTCCATCACAACATGAATAAGGATGAGAATTGGTTAAGCCTTAAATAGGAGTCTATGACCTCGCATCTTTAAAGTCTAGTCTGACGTGTTTAATAAAAAGGTCAAGTTTAGACTTTTAAAAAAATTTATTTATATTAAAAAAAAAAGTCAGGCTTAAGCTTATAAAAAGCCTATTAGCCTTCATAAATCAGCCTATTTATATAATATAACAAAAATTAATACATATATTTTCTAAAATATATATATAAAAATAAATTATCAATATTTAAAATAATTTTTTATACAATTTTTTATTATAGGGTTTATAAGTTGCATGAATGTATATCAACAGACATAATTACGTATAAATTGTCCCTTCAACAAAAAGTTGATTTTTTGAAATCTAAATTTTAATAATATTGCGTAAATTATATTTTAAAAATAATTTTGTTTACTTTTAAAAATTCAATTTATGTGCCTAAATTACATTAATAATTTAAATTGAATTTTAAATAGGCTAATAACTTAGATCAGACTTTAAAAAAGTTATATAAAAATATATGATAGAAAATAGGCTGGGCTTAAGCGTTAATTATGCAAAATAAGTCCAACCAAAGCTTGGTGTAGCCTGGCTCGGCCTATTCACATCCCTACTTATGATTTATGCATTAGTGTACATCAACCAATGTGGTTAAGTATGAATTATTGAGTAAACTATATTTTTAAAATAAATTTATTTATATAATCTAACAAAAATTAATATACTTATATTATTAAAAATATAAATAAAGAAATAAATTCATAAAATAAAAACAAATTATCAATATTTAAAATATTTTTTTTATATAATTATTATTTTTTCATTATAGTTTTATAAGCTAACGACTTGCGTCAATGTACATGAATATATATGGTTGCACATGAGTCATCCCTTGAACAGAAAATAATTCATTATTTCTCTATTTTTCTTTTAAAATTTAAAATTTAATAATATTGAGTAAATTATATTTAAAAAATAAATTTGTTGACTATATAAAATTTAAGTTTATTAGGCTAATTAACATTATTAATATAAATAGGCTTTTGAATTAGTTAATAGATTTAACTAGACTTTAAAATGGTCAAGTCAGACCTATGAAAAAAAGCCTATAATAAATAAATTGACAATTTTAGGCTTTAATTTTTTTAAATAGACCCAAATTATATATTTAAAGCCTAACATTTATTCTCATCCCTAGTTGTGTATAGAAAGCAAATGTTAGGCAAATTTTAATAGGACAAAATTTAGAATAACAAAATTTGATGAATACTACAATAAAAGGTAATGAGTCATTTGTCTCCACAATATTTAATCTACTAATTAATTCCACAACAACAATAAAAAAATGTAATATTTTTTGTCATACATTTTTCATAATACCACTTTTGCTATGCTTACTAAATTTCACTAGAGTATTCGTGACAGACAATCATTGCAACATGAAGCACGACTATTCCCGTAAAAGAGTTGTTAAATATTGTCTCGCTGTACTGATTGATGATTGTTCTTGCTAATGGTGCAAAGAACTTAATAAAACATTAATAACATAGCATACTTAAATATCTTTTGGTAGGAAGAAATTAATTTAGAAAAAGAATTAATATACGTATATTAGTAAAAATTTAAATAAACAAATAAATTAATAAAACAAATACAAAAACAAATAATCAATATTTAAAATATATTTTCATATATAGATTTATAAGCTTCTGACCTATGAGTGTAGGTCAACATACATCGTTAAACATGAATTATCCTCACACAAAACATGATTCACTTATTCTCTTATATTTCTTTTTAAATTTAAATTTCTATAATATTGAGTAAACTGTATTTTAAAATAAATTTATTTATGTATTATAATTAAAAATTAATATACTTATATTATTAAAAAAAATAAATAAACAAATAATTTATAAAACAAAAACAAATTATCAATCTTTAAAATATTTTTTTATACAATGGTTTTTTTCTTCATTACAATTTTATAAGCTTATAACCTTGTGACTGAGTGTATATAAACATACATGGTTATGCATGAATTGTCCCTTGAGCAAAAAATAATTTACTATTTCCCTAAATTAAAATTTAAATTTTAATAATATTGAGTAAATTATATTTTAAAAATAAATTTGTTGACGATTTAAAATTTAAGTTTGTTGGCTTAATTAACATTGTTAATATAAATAGATTTTTAAAATAACTAATAGGTTAGGCCAGACTTTAAAATAGTCAGGTCAGGCTTATAAAAGAAGCGTATGATAGATAATACAACAAGTTTAGGCTTTAATTTTTTAAAACAGACCCAACTTATATATTCAAAGCTTGAAATAATCTAGCTTATTTCGATCCCTAGTTGTGTGTACAAAACAAATTTCAAACAAATTTTAATAAGACAAATTTTAGAATAACAAAATTTGATGAATACTACAATAAAAAGGTAACTAGTCATATGTCTTTGCAATATTTAATCTACTAGTTAATACCACAACAACAACAACAATGTAATATTTCTTGTCATACATTTTTCACAATAACTCTTTTGCTATGCTTATTAAATTTCTCTTAAAGTATCCATGGCAGACATTCATTGCAACATGAAGCATGATTCTTCCCATAGGAGAGTTGTTAAATATTGTCTTGCTGTATTGATTGATATTGATGATTGTTCTTGCTAATGGGAAAAAGTAACTTAATAAAAAATCAATAACTAGGATAACTTAAATATCCTTTTGTAGGAAGAATTAATTTAGAAAAAATAAGAAGACATCTTGTAAACTTAGACATTAATGAGATGGAGAGTGTAAGAACATAGCAACATGCTTCAGAGAATGTGGTTGTAGAGGACCTATGTTTGTTGACAATTTTTGTGGTTTATCCTGAAAGTCGCTATTATCTAAGTAACTTCTATAAGTTTACTACATTTTGTTATGATGAGGAAAATATCTAGTGGGACCACTCATACACGTGACAACTAATTCAAAAAAACGGAGACCGAAATTGAGAGACTGAAATTGGACATTTGAGAGAACAAATTTAATAATAGGGGAAGAGAGTGATTTTTATTTTTCTAGCTGATTTCTCTTTTCTTCAAAATATTCTTATCTTACTTTCTTGAGGTCATGTACTCATTGTTTCGACAAAACCTCTTTTGTTAAATAGTTCATGCTACATAAAATTTCTGCATACTTCATACAAAATTTTGTGTACATAATTTACTTTAATATAATCTTCCTTATATAGTGTTTTCATTGAGTTATTGTTGAGTCATTTTTTACACTACAAAAAAATGTGTGATTTATGGGGGTTTCTGACCGTTAAAAACCGCCACAAATCGTATTACTTGTGTACCATCGCCAAAAATGATTTGTGGTGGATATTAAAAAATTCAATCACTTTATGGCGGTTTACTTAATTCAATGTGTTTAAAAACGCCACAAAATTGTAGTTTTGTTTGACTTGTTAGACATTTTCTGGCGGGTTAAAACCCCCACAAAATTCATTTTAATTCTGCCTATTTCAATGTTTCTGGCGGTTATAAACCCCCACAAATTGCTTTTTACTTGTTTACATTTTCTGGAAATTTTAAATCAGAAAAATGCATTTTATCTCACATTTTCTGACAGTTTTAAACCATAAAAAATACACTTTATTTTATGGTACATTTTTATTATTTTTAAAATATATTTGGAATTATTTTAAAAGCATGTTCTTATTATAAATTGACAAATAATAACCTATATATTTTAGGTATTTATCAAATTATTATTCAAAATTGTCACTAACTATATTAATCATTTAAAATTAATAATGACTATATTATATTATTATTTAATTCAAGAATAATAATTTTAGTTATCGAATTCTAGGATCACTTATTTTAGTAAATTCTACCTATAATTGTAATAATATTTATGTGTTTTGTATGTTTTTTGTTTAAATATAATTACATAAACAAGCTCAATACCACCTGAAAGAAAGGGCAGGAAATGTGAGATATTTCCTAATTAATTATTTGAATATATAGGTTCTGTATCTGGAACCAAGCTAGTACTTTCAAAAAGTGATGCACAAGCACAACATGTAAACTTCTTTACTGCAGTTTTAATAAATAAAAAAATTAAAAATTTAAATGAGAAGCTGAAATTGAACATGAAACAAACAAAAATACTACCCAGCATAAGTATTCAGAGCAACCTCCAAGAAATAACAATATCAAATCAGAGCTGCATCATATGGGAGGAGGTAAAAGTAACACTAATACCAAGTAGAAATTCAAACTCACCATGAAATAAACAAAGGGAAAGAAGGCAACGCTGTATTGAAAAACAGAGGGACATCAGAGATAAATATAGAACCTGTTTCAGTCAACTGAGTGTAGAAACTATAGATATAATTAAGATAACAAGATATGTTAATACATAGAAAGAAAAAGAAAAACTGATTCTAGAGTACAACTTGAAAAACACTAACTAGTTTAGTGTTAAAACATCAGCTGAGAAAGGATGAATATATTTCAATTTATTGCAGTCATCAATCATAGTGGGGAGTAATGTTAAGTTTTGCTGATCTCTATTTTTATATGATAATGATACTAGACCTTTGAAAAACTACCAAAGGGTCTAACTCAATTGGTTGAGAAGCTGCATGAATCGATATAAATTTCTAACACTAAACTCCGATTCTGATATTCTGATAGATTGTTAAAAACAAAATAAAAAAGACAAATCTCATATACACACAAGAAATAACCCCAATGGCGATTGTATGGATTAACGACTACATCACATGTAAGGGTGTAGAAAACATTGTGAAATTTAATGCCAATGTGTGACAAATAAAACTCAAAATGTAGTAAAACCTATTTAATGACGTTAACAAAAAGCTACAGTTTTTTACACCAGAGACTTACGAGTAGAAAAACAAGACCATGCAAGAAGCCAACGATAACCAAAGCCAGATACATCTGGAAGTAATACACCTGCAAAGATCCGAAAGCTACTTTAACATTTCTTGAGCAGACAATCTAGTGTTGGAGCCAAGGTGATATGTCACATACCACAAAAATTTCTGATGTTGAGAAGCAAAGGACGAGAACTCCAACTAATTTTTTAAGTGTGATTCCACTTCCAAGCAAAGATAAATAATACATAAAGAAAAATGTCAAACATAATAATTTAGACAGACACTAATAATTCAACCACCAATCAAATAATTTTTGTAACGAGTTATTTCTCTGACAACAGAGCAAGAGTTATATCAAAGCTCCACTACCAAATAACTTATAAGATAAACTTGTCACAAAGTCCAATGGATCAAAAGTTCACATGTTAAAGTTCTTGTGCATGTGTATCCAATTCGATTTTGTCCGATACTGATATGATTATTTGAAAATATTGGATATGGTGTAAGATACATATTTAGATATGTATAAAATATAGAAGAATGCACTCAACCAACCAACACAGCCACTCTGCATGTCCACCCATAATTGCCGCTGAGTGGCTGACTAGAAGTCTGAATATCCCTTCTTTCTTATCAAGGATATGGATCCATAATGTGATGAGTTTACCCATTTATTGGGATTAATTGTAGTGTCTCCTTGACTTTCAGCTACATGTGTGAGAATGCTAAAATTGAGGCTACAGTGTACGTTAGTGTTGCTTGCAAACTAATGATCCATAAACCAATTATTTATAATAAAAGTCAAAAGAAAGAACAAAAGGATGAAAGGGAAAAGTTTGTTTCACATTTTTACCAATCTAATAACATTAATAGATCCGTGCTTTCGTAGACACAATGATGAACCATAATGTTATCTGCAAGGAGATCACTACACTGCCTGCATCAAATTAATGGCATACATGTACTTCGTTGTTAGTTCAAGTGTTTGTTCTTTCATCTTTTCTACTTCTAAAACTGTCGATTATGCATGTTAAGGTAAACTTGATCGAACACTTTCTAATAATGCATGGTTCAACACTATGAATAGAATATCATGTTGACCTATGATGAAGCCGAAGAGAGGGAAAAGAAAATGTATAAATAAAAGCATGCTTCCTTTATGCTTAGGTTGTAGATTACACATCAACTATACCAAGAAAAATCATTATCTGAAGAGACATTTGCAAATTATTATGATCAGCTTAAGGAGTATATAAGTGATAACCGATCCATAAAGTTGACTATGAAAAACAAAAAGGTCCTGTAAAATTTATAATTAAAAAAAAAGGAAGTATATATCTGGAACCTAAGTTTTTAAGGAGAACTTATTAACCAGATCAATATTTTGTGGCTATTAAGGATTTTAACTTTATTAAAATATATTTTAACATTATAAATGATAATTCTTTATCTATATCTATATATCCATCTATATATTTAATAAAAACTCATACCATATGGGGAAGTCACGTCAATTTATAGAATAAAGGACAAGACTAACCATGAATGCATGTACTATATGCACACAGAACTCCACAGCAATCCCTATTGACATAATAAGGTTTACAACAGACACTGCATTGAGTTGAATACCCAAAATTGCCATTACACCCTGCAGGAGTCACAAAGATCGTGATTTTCATTCTGTAACTAAGTATTAAATAGGATACCAAAAGGGAAAGAAAATAAAAGATGAAACAAAATTCACAACTGTAAGATAAATGATACCATGAGGTCCAAAATTATCATGACCAAAACAAGTAATATTATTGCTGAACTCCACAAGCTGCATTGAATAGCGAACAGAAAAAAAAAATATTATGCTTAAATCCTGAAATGGAGAGAACAAATTTAGAATTTAACAGTAAATATACAAGGTTTAAGTTTGGATATGTTTTATACCTGGATGTGATGACCAGACAAACCACAAAAATAGCACCTGTTATATCATCACAAGTTATTCAATGACAAATGAAATTGGTTAAGGAAAGACAGACTTGATATAATCATATGATACACTTTCACAAGTAATAATTGAAGAAGAATCTAAATCAAGGAGAAAGGGGAAACAAACATGGATAAAAGTGAGGAAACATGAATTAGATTTTCACTTTCCAGCCCCGCCGCCCACCGCCGCAAAATCCTCAATAGCGTCGCCGATCAACGCGACGAGGTCCGTTTTGGATTGTTCCTCGCTCCGATTGATAATCTCTTCCTCGAGGCTCTCAATCTCCGCTCTGCAGCTGGATGCGTCGCGAATCTCCAGTTTGTCGAAAATCAAAGAGAGATGCACTTGATCCGGTCGAGGACCGAAACGACGTCGTTCCGGAGGTTTATGTGTTCGGCTCCGAATTCGGAGCACTGTTTCCGCAGGAGGATAACGAGTTCCCGGTCGTCATTTAGGTGTTGGAGATGGAAAACATCGAGGAGCGTGGAGAGTTCTCCGGTGAGCCTGTGGAAGGTGTCGGCGACGGTTTCGATTTACACGAGGAGATTGAACCTGCTTCTTCCATTGGAGCAATCTTCAATTAGCGTTTTGATCTTGTGGAGAACGATGCACATTTCCTCGAGACAGAGGATGAGAGAGTAGGGGAACAAAACGGAGTTGGAATTGGAAACGCGAATCAGGTCCTCAAAAACGACGCCAAGGAGCTGCGTTTTTGAATTAAGTCTAAAACTTTTCTTTTTTTAATTATTTTTAAAAAATATTTCAATTAAATTGGTAAACATTGTGGCGGTTTAACAGCTGAAAATTTTAATTATTTTTGAGGGTTTAAATAACTCCTAAAATTATATTATTTTTGACCGTTTATAAAAACTGCAAAAAAAAAAAAAAAAACTCTCACTAATTACCTGATTTTTTTTAGTGTTATCTCTTTTCACTTTTTAATATGTTGCGTGTACAAAGTCAATACCAAACAAAATATAATTTATCAAAATTTATATGGACAAAATTTGGTATTTACCGTAAGAAAGGAAAACAAGACATGTATTCATAACTCTCGTAAAATAAAGAATAAAAACTTTATTATTTATCTTTCACAACAATTATTTGTGCCAAGTAAGGATGAGAATAGGTCAAACCTTAAATAGGAAGTATATGGTCAAGCCTCTTTCTTTAAAGTTTGGTCCGACTTGTTTAATAAAAAGGTCAAATTTAAACTTAAGCTCATAGAAAAGTTTGTTGAGCTTGATAGATCAATCAATTTATTTATATAATAAAAAAATAATATATATATATATATATATATATATATATATATATATTGAGCCTAGGAGAGCTTCCTAGGAGAGCTTGAAGCCTAAAGAAGTTTTGATGATCACA